AAACTACAAAAAAAAAAAAATGTTTTCGCAGAGGGAGAACTTGGAGATGTTTCTCAAGGCCTGCGAAAGTTATGGGCTCAAATCGCATGACCTCTTCCAAGTGAATGATTTGTACGAAAGGAAAAACCTCTACATGGTAAACAAAATACCAGTGTGCTAGTCGATGAGCCCGCACTAATGCCTGTTTTACTGATTTGCAGGTTGTCAACTGCATGTTTGCATTAGGTGGTCTGGTAAGTCATTCATATTTCATGTACAGATGGTAAGGAGAGCAGTGGCATTTCAATAATATCACATGCATTGATGCGAGAACTATGTTTCTTGAGGTTTTATGATGTATGAAGTGCTGGAGATAACCTATTGACAGTAGCTGTCAATAACATGATTTCACTGGAAAAACTTGGTGGTAGGCATATTAAATATATAGTTGCTATGAGAAGCAGATAAGCTATAACACAAAGGCAGTGACAGAAAATGTATTAAGTGCTGTAAAGTGTTTTAAATGATGAAAATATTGGCCCGGCAACACTGAAAAGCTTAAGGGTTTGAAGCTTCTATTTCTCTGCAGTGCTTCTCCCCATTATGTCGCACATTTCCGCACATGGCAGAACAAAAAAAGAGAAAAAGCGTGATTACAATAGATAAAGCAACTCTTGCACAGTATGTAAACCATGCAGGAACTACTGAGTGTACTGCATTTAACGTTGGGCTATTCATGCAGTGATAAACACTGAACCATTAAGCAAACCATTAAGCATGATTTAGGCGTTCAGGTCCAAGACCACTAAGGAAAATCTAACCTAAGCTGCAGCGAACACTAGTAAAGCACGGCTAAAGAGCTGGTTATGCTAATTATGGGACAATGCTCGACAAAGTGAACATAATGTAACCTAGTATGTAAACCCACTTTAAAATTTAATTGCATCAAAAGGTTTAAGGGGGATCTTCATGCCTTGATTACATCATTGACTTTAGGTCAAGATGTGTTATTTTCTGAGGCTGTAAATGCAGCATGTACAGTCACATGCAATACACCTGGCAAAATACTGCTTATGACCAAAACGGTGTAAACACTGCACAGTGGCGCGGACATAGAAAACAATCAGCGACATAAATACTGTTTCGACTAGCCGTATTTCCCAAATCAATTTCATGTTTGGCAGCGGTACTGTATAGGCTTGGGGCCTCTTCAACCTTGGCCACAATGTAGCAACCCGCATTCAGTGCCACCGATCATTTCACGTGTGTAAGCAATTCTTCAGGAATGCCCTTGTCATTAACTTTGCCATCATAGGTTCCATATCGGAGAATAAAATAAAGGTGCAAGGTTCACTTGTGAAATTGATGGTAGACAGGCTGTATGAGACAGGTCATGCTTTGGTCACACCCAAGTGAGAGAACCGCATTTAGTAAGGAAAATAAGGGAGAGTGGAAGCTATGCACAACCTTTGAACTCGTGAGGCCACGCGTCGCATTGAGCACGACTGCACCTTTTTCTGAAAATTGAGCGCACGACCTTCCTATCGTGCAGGCTAAGAAAAAGGGATACCCGGGTCCCACGATTGGAGTCAAGGTAGCCAACGAGAACCCGCGGGACTTCACCACGGAGAAGCTGCAGCTGGGCAAGACCATCATCGGACTGCAGTCGGGCACCAACAAGGGCGCATCTCAGGCCGGAATGACGCCGTATGGCGCGTCGAGGCAGATCCTACCGGACGGACGATGAACCGATTTGTCCATCCCGAACACCTTTGACAACGATGAACCGCCTCATCTCCGCATCAATCTTTCTCCTGCACCATCGAATTTACGCTGAAAGTGTTCTCGTGCGATGCATCTCCTTTCGAAGTGTCGTCCGCAAGTGGCCAGGCGCTTGGCTGGTGGTATGTGCCAACCTCTGGAATAGTTAGGCGTGCTCTACCATGGTCATTGACCGGCCGTTGATGCTTTCGTGCTGACCCATCGCTGTGCGAGTTTTTACATCCGGAGTCGAGCCTTACAAAGCCTTCATCCCTGGAACCTTCTAGTTCGTTGCACCAGCCTTGTACAAGTAGCAGAACTCTTATCATTTCTCTTTTTTTATCGTTTATTTTTCTACCATGTCAGTGTTTCTGAAGTATTGCGTCTTCTCTTGGTTTCCTCGGGAAGGCTTAGTAATGAAATTAGGATTTTGAAATATAAAAGAAGGCATAGTATTGACGTGTTGAGTATCTGTTAGCTTTTGCTGTTGCTTCATTTAAATAAATAATAAAAAGAGAGAGCAGAGTTTGTTTGTTCATAAATTGTTCTTTATTCTGCCAGACTTTAATAGCAAAAGACACTAGTGCTATGCTATGTTGAACAAAATCATGTGCCTTTCGGGTTGCATCACTGAAATGCGATTGACTAACAAGTTCACTTCCAACTTGAAATACAAAGTGTCAATAGTACCTGCGGGATGGTCGACATGCTTTGGGCAGGGGCAAACTTAATGAGAAGCCTAACGAGTCTACGAGTTTCTCTCCAAAACGATCTCTGCATCGTTTTGAGCAAAAAAAGGCACATGTCAAAAACTGCACATGGTTAAATCCAAGCCTGCTAACGATGCGTAACAAAGAAACGTCTGTGCATAGTCATCAGAGGTGTGCTGAAAGAAGTTTACAATATTGACGGCGAGGAAAGACCCCGACACAAGTTTGCATTGCATAGAACACACACATACTTTTGCGCAAAAGGTTTGCAAAGGGAAGAAATTGTGCAAACCACAGGTCTTGATTACATTCTTCATAGAATAATTTACTCACACGCACATAGACTTTTCGTTCTGCTTGACGGCTCAAAAAGAAAAAGAACACTTGATGTGTTCCCACTTGCAGGACAAGTCCTGAAAAACAAACAAACAAGAAGGTGCCAGCAGTAGAGCTGGCCTTTCTGGGGAGCACCAACATCCCAGTAACAGCTAGAACTCTGAAAAATAACTTAGAAAATGTAGCTATAGCGGGTAAAAGCCGGCAATCGTGTTGGCACAACGGACAACACATTCAGACACGGTCAACCTGAGTAGACTCGTATGTACAGAGCACAAATGACAGGGGGTCAGACAAAACATAAGAAACACTGTCTTGCATGTCATTACTATATGTACAACATGTTATGTACAGGTGTCAAAAGTAAGCACAGTGTAAAGCAAGATAAATTGGTGGCGTCTGATCGTGGGCTCACATCTCATGCACAATGAAAGCATTCAAGAGACTTCAAAACGCCTCCGCGGGAAGCGAAGTGTCATTTCCTTCTAACTAAAGCTTGAAGGGGGCTTTGGATGTCTGCTGCCTGTTTGTGGCCCAACTTTCCAACCTGTTCTAGCTGCACTAGAACAATGCAGTACAAAAATAATGGCCCTGTAAAGCCTATTCCTTCCCTACACTGGTTCTTATAGTTAAGAAAGAAAAATGTGTCCGAATGCAGCAGACTAAAGCAAATGGCCTTTGTATTGGCGTGACAGTTTTTGAAAATGTTTATAGCTGCTCTTAATGGAATCTTCACCTCACACTAAATTCTTGCACTACAAAATTAGGTTGTTCTAAACCTGGATTGTAACTTTATTCCTTAATTTTTGCCTTGTTTGTGCATGAAAACTGGTCTTGGCAGACCGTGTGATTGCTCTGTAAATACAAGAAAATTTTGTTGATCAATAGTAATACAGCCTCAAACTAACAGTAGCACATCTCTAAATCCATATTAAGTTGCACTGCCCCATGATAGCGCTATGAGCAGGGTACAATGCAAACACACGGAAAACCTTCGTGCTTTTTCGAATCTTTTACTATTCACTTCCTTCTAATGTAGAGCGTGCTACTTGCCAGTATTTCATCACAGAACAAACACAATGAGGGATGCGACCGTTGCTGGCTGTAAGGGCGCCTTCAAAATATAGTGCCAAGGAAACTTTCCACACGAACACCCATTTTTGAATGCTTCCACCAAATCGCTCCAGCCCCTGTTCATTTCGAAAAGTGAGCTAGTGACAAAATTCGAGCAAACAAACCGGGTTGCTTAACAACCTTAGAACAACGAATAAAGCACCTTGGAAGTTCTTATAACCAACGGACAGCGATGTAACGCTGTCGATATCGTCGGCGACGCTCTAAACTTGGCAAAGGCCCAAGCTGTCTGGACATCACAAGGAGCGTGCTTTGTTTGCCGAGCAAGTGCACAAGGCTGTGTAGCAGTAGTACAGCTCAACAGTGACAGCCCAGATGTGTGTGCTTGTCTGTGTTTTGCATCAGCATTCAACAACGGGCAATTTAGCCAGTAAATAAACTAACATTTCAATTGAATAAAGGTTTTACTGCCTTCAAACAGGTTATCCGGCCAATATTCAAGCTGCCCACTTAAATAAATAAAAAAAACGAAACATTGCTATGTACCAGAGTGTGGCCAGAATTTTTTTTTTGGGGGGGGGGGGGGGGGGGGGGGGGGGTACGTCTTTGTTTTAGGAAGGGCATCCCTTTCGAATGCCCATTTTTGCTCTCTATTACATGGCAGAAAAACTTCAGGGTGGGAGTGAGGGGGGTGGGGGGGGCCAAGGGCCTGTTGTGCTACCTCCTGGCTATGCCCCTGCTATTTACACACACACACACACAAAACACCCAATCAAGTACCAGAACTTAAGAAAAAAAAAGGAGGGAGGGTACTGGCTTTCGGTCTCTTGTTTGCTACACACAACTCTGCACCGATTCACCTGAGAACTTCGGAAAAGCTGAAATACGGTATAAATTTAACGTTTCGAGGATGCTCGTCTGGTGCAGAGTTTGCAGCAAATCTGAGAATTCGGTGTCAGAGCTGACACGCACATTCATCCATCTCTCGCACTCGTACCAAGAAGCAATGAAAATGGTGCTGCGAGAAATTCCTTGATGTAAATTATAAAAACCTTAGCTGAAAACAAGTCGTACAGGGTAACTAACTGCATGCAGCTGCCTTACCGAAAACGTTATGTCACTGTAAAAAAAAAGAAAAAAAAAAAGCATCCTTTAGTATCCAGGTCTTTCTACAGAGTTACAGGAAGGAACAATGGTGAAGGAAACAATTTGTTTGCATTCATAAACTTAACTCCCTTCTGAAGAGGAAGCAAAGAATAAGAAAGCAGATCCCATCTACAGGAAACCTACTGGGCAACAGCTGACCTAGCTGTTGCCCAGTTTGTGATAATCGTAAAAAAAAGAATAATCAGTTTCTGCTTCCTTTCACACTGTACTACCCTGCACATATGCGTTGATCGGCACTTCACAACAGAACGGTATCGGTGACTGCGGGACAGTGCACCTCTGGGTCATTTTATGCGTTTCACTCGATGAAGCAGACATGCTTTGCGCCCCCTAAAAAATCATGGCATGTGGCTGCATAAACTGGCAAAGCACACAGCTGCTTTTATGTACAGCACTCAACAGATGACTTCTCGCTTGCACTGTCAGCTCTTAAAAATCACCTTAACACCAGAAAAGCAACCGGCTGTCGTCTTTGTTGCTCTTTTCTTTCTTTTTTTTTCCCTCACACATTCTAGTACACTTCATTTTCAGTTCCAAGTTGAAGGATGAAGCTGCCAAGTTGTGAATGAAGCGACCAACTGTCCCACTGCACCAAACAATGAGAAAATCGGCCTCATTTGCACTTCCAGCATGCCCAGCACGGCTGATGTGCGGCATGAAAGTAATGTACACGATGAATTGATGAAATGAGCGGCACTAGTCGAGAGAGGACAACAACCGCGGCACGAAAATAATTAAAAAAGGCTCCCGTACCCTCACAGTTCGTAATCTTCCCAACATGTTTTGTGTGATACGGCAAATCCTTCACAATGGATGACAACCAAACCTAGACCGTTGATGCATGGAGGAGCGGTCTCCACTGCAAACACCCATGAGATACTATAACCACCCACGAATGTTGACACCGATGCGCACCAAGACTACACGCACCCTCTTGGCAGTGAAAGTGTTTTTTGCAACCGCGTATATGTGGCGCGGTGCACGAGCGGTACAGGGTCCCGGAAACGTAATCACTCCACAAATACTGGCTAGTGTCACCTCCTTCAAGGCAAAAGCCTCTCGGGGTCGGTAAATCACACCGTCTTGGCAGTAAAAGTTTGTCTATGCCCACACAGCTATGGTGCACACCACGCAAGGGCGACGAGAGTGACTGGAAGCGTTCATCGCACAGCGTGCACCTCCACGCAGGCTTGGAAGGAGTTCCGCCTCCCTATGGACGCCGGGTTTTTGGGAATCCTCGTGATGGAGGGGTCTAGAAACTGCGTCAGCTGTTGTTGCTGGGCAGGCGAGGAGGCGCGACTGCTCAGCGAGGGCTGCGGTGCGGGCGGCGGCGAGCGCCCTTTCTCTTTGCTCGTCAGCAGGGGCTCGAAGTACTGTAGGTGTTCGGAGTCTTCGTGCGGCGTCATCGTGCTGTAGCCGTGGTCGCTGTCCCCGCCGGGCGGACGCCGGTACGCCGTGTTGACTCGATAAGGCGACACCACGACTCGGTTGTCGTACGTGCAGCCCGCCAGGCTGAGGTTGTGAGGTCCCACTGGAAGCAAGGCGAAAATCGGAAAGTGAAGCAAGGCATGGTGATGCCGAGTGACTGTGACAAGCGCTGGTTTGATTCTTGAGTTCGATGGCTAGAAAGAAGTGGAAGGCACCAGTGCTGACACCATCCACTTCTTTCTTCTCGTGTCTTACAGTCCTAGGCATAGTTTACTGTTCACCACGGCTTACAGTAGCTACAGAAAAGTTTTGAGATCATAATGCTTTTGACAATTAGAAGTTAAATACACACTCAGTAAACGGAAATCTCTTGGGTGCAACTGCTGGGGGGGGGGGGGGGGGGTCATTTGTTTCTTGTCAGCAACAAGTGTTTCTGACTTTTTGAGCCATGGTCGAAAAACGCTGCCATCAGTAGTCAAGGTTTCTGAGAAAATGCGAGCCAAACATTATGGCGCAACATGCGCCGCCTGGAATTCACAATAAATTCTCTATGTAAGCTAGAAATTGCCTTTTCTTTTTTCGAAAAATTATGACACAAGCTCGAAAATCCCTCGTCACAGTCATTGTATCAGCTGATTCGAGCATGGCGCGCTTGGTCATCACTCCGGCCGCTGCGAAAGTTCACAACTTGTCCATTCGTGCACGCGGAATTGTACTAAAAAAGCCGCATACTCGAAAAACGAAAAAAATGATAAAAAGCGCTCAAGGTCACGAGGCTTTAGCGGGGTATTTTCTTCACCATGCCATTCCTATCTGCTTTGCTTAGCTTCCAAGCACTTTCGTCGTGACGAGAGAACAGAATGCAAATGCAGCATGTGACAAATCTTCGTAACTCCGGTCATACAGGACGAATTCCAAAAATTTTTGCAGTAGTGAATTCGTGAGGCGATGAGCTCCTTTCGTGAATCCATTCTACGCCTTAAAAAAGTGTTGCAGGGCCCCTTTGAAGGGACCCTGAAATGTTTTTTTTTTTAAAAGTTTCGTCAGCTTTAGACTAGAGCATCGTCAAACCATTTGCACCCCAAATTTGGTGACACGCTGTGTACCACGGCTTCTAAGAACAATTATATCATACCCTCCTTCTGACCTCTGCCTGGCTGGCCTCAACTTATGGGCCATGCTGGCATTGGTGGCGATCGCAGAGCTCTCATGAGCGCGATCGACATTTCGAGCTTTTACCTGTCTAGACCTCAGAGATCATATGCCGTCAGGTTGCGTACAGTCTCGGAGGCCATAACATAGTGCGCCCGGCAGTGCTCACGCTGTCCGGCAACAGAGACGAAGATCGTGAAGTGGTTCATATCTGTTCCGAGAGGTGCCACCACCCTACCAGCCGATCGTACTTTTGCGCATTCTGCAGCCCATGACAGGCAATCAGATAAGCAGCTACGGTGACGTGGCTATAGACGTGCTCTGGCCATGTCAAGCGGCCAGAGCAACATTAGCTGTGAATGGGCGATCGAAAACGCGTTTGGCCGAGCTGCATCGATCTGCAGTGATTCGCAGCTTTAAAGCGTTGTAATAAATTACAGGTTATGCAGAAGGCTCGAATCGGTCTATAAACCCTTGGGAACTTGGTCTGCCTGCCCAATATATTTGTACAAAATCACCAAAACCGTTTCAGAGTCCCTTTAAGGTGTTTCATTTACTGAGTGTGTACTGTACACACGAGTGGTGCACCTTCAAGAGTTGCATTTCCATAGGTTTGCATGCATCGTTTTTTTTTTTGTTTTTTTTTTTTTTCGTGCAACGCCGCTGTCGCTGAAATGTGCAATTAACAAGCTTCGCTCGGACACTCACCAGGACTGGGGCTCGTGTGAAAGTCTGAGTCGTCGATATCGTGGAATACCTGGCCCCCCTGGAGAGGAGCGGCAGGATACGAGAGGTTGTACTGGCTCGATGAGCTCCGCGTCACACGATTCTTGTAGCAGTACACAAGGAAGGCAATCAGACAGAATGCCCCGATCATGCCACCTGCCACAGGTCCGAGCGGAGTGCTACGGATGTACGGGAAATCTTCCTCGAGAGCACCTGCAAAGGAAACAGAACAGCGCTTGTAAGAAGCAGAGTACAGTTTAACTTGACTACGGTGAAGACTGATACATCAAATCACTGGTTACAGCGGGCTAATACTAGTTTCAGTTGGACAAGCTTCAGTGACATTTATTATTTTTATAACAAAATCAAGAGTGCAAAAGTGACAGCAACACTGGATGTAAGCATAAGCATTCGCAGGGTTCCTCTTTCTTTTTTTTTTGGGGGGGGGGGGGGGTCTTCGTAATGGCTCCCTTCCCGATCAGGTCAATGTGCCACCCCCTCTCCCACATTCCCTGTTCCCCTTGTGGGCATGCCAATAGATTGTAACGAAGAAATATTTCACCACGTGAGGCTTGCAGGACGCATCAAAAAACTAAATAAATATTGCAAGACAATCTGCAACCACATTCTTTTTTTAATCATTTGCACCACATCCTTCTTCACATGAACCTGAATGCAAACCTGTTTTGTCCAACAAACTTTGTTATTTTACAATTTGTGGGGGTGCTGACACCCCCCCCCTGTAAAGTTGTCTGCGCTGCGTGGCGCACGTGTCTCGCCCCAAGGCTTTATTTCGGTGGTGACCACCGCCAGGCGATAGATGGCGTTGTGTTCGCTTTGAGTACCACTGTTGGTAGAGTGGTAGCGCCGGCAGTGGCCCCTGGCGGAAGGCAGGCCTTGGTGGTGGGCGAGCGTTGAGCGAGTCTCTCTGCGCGTGGCATCTGCTGCGGACGGTTGTCTGTAGCGTGGGTCCCCCGGTGCTCGGCACCGCGGGCTTCACGCCTTGGTCCCACGTGGAAAGTCAGGCGTTGGCGACGCCGCCTTGGGTATGTGTTAGTGTGTTGGGTGTGTTAATGTGTGTTTATCATGTTATTGTGTGTTTAGTGTGTCACTGCGTTATGTTGTTTGTATGGTAGCGTGTTAATCAAAATTGATGTAACATTCGGCGGACAATATCGTCGTCTAAATTAGTTAATAAATGTACGTATGTTGTGTGCTTTCTACCGAGTGCGTCTGCTGGGTCCGCTCACTCCAAGAGCGTGGCGTGGCGATGCGCGCGTTCGCCTTGCCGACGAGACCCCACAAATTTCAGCTTGCCTAGTGCCAGTAAATTTAGTTTGAAATGTCACAAGCATACAGGTAAGTATTACTTCGTTTATAATGGGTTCAAGCATATCATAACGCATTTTTGTATTCGGGCAAGCGAACTTAACGATTAGTTGTTTCTATTCCTCTTACAACGAGAATATTGGCTACAATGAACAAATTTATAATCTCGATGCTTTCTCATTGTAAAAAGTTTCGGTGCATTTACTTCTGCTGGTATTGACAAAATGGACACGCTGCTTGCACATTTCCATACACAAATTTAGTTTGACCAACTGGTTCGTGTGGTTTAATGCGCTGCACAGCAACTCTGAAACTATGAGACAAAGGTACTGCAGCCAAAATCGAAGTGCGAGAACGATTCCAGCTTCATTAAAATGTTGCCGCTGCAATCAGGAAGAAAATTTGGCTTAGCGTCCTGTTCGGATTACCCTCTTCAGCACTAGCGAACATGACCTTATCAAGGCTACATTTCTCAGGCGCATTCATGTCACATCCCAAGCCCATGTACAGTAGAATCTTAAAGACATGAGTGTCTCTAGTTTGGATGCTTCCACATTTGGGAGTGCTCGCTAACGATGAGAGCAGCAATACTAAATACAAATGCACAATTAAGCTTACTTGAGTACCTCTTCGCAGGATCTCTGTAGCAATCACAACTTCCCTCGAAGTCATAAAACTGGGAAATTGGCGGGTTGTCAGTTCCCAGCACTTACCGATTATCTCATCTGCATAAGGGGTCCTCGCTCCTAGAACCCCACCAAAGCACTTGGGCTGCTCGTGACAGAAGGGCGTCTTCAGTGCCGTCTCACCGTCCATGTCGACAGAGCACCACTCGCAGCCCAGAACGCCCGAACAGTCCCTGCAAGATGGGAACCAAGACCGTCAATCGGTGCCATCTTATTTCTTTGTACGCTATCATTATGAACTACTATATAAACTCTGTTTTACACATGAGGTGTAATGCTGTGGAAGTTATGTGAGAAGCTTGGTCAGCAAAACGTGTAAGTCTACATGTCTTGCCCTTTGATTTTATCGCTGTGAACGTGACCTCCAAAATTCCACTCCTGCAGTGCTTCATAGATGAACCCCTTTAGAAGAGGCACAAGCCTGGAAGCAATTGTCTTTTATATGAGGTGTGTCTAATAAACAGGGTACCACGGTTGCATTTTCTTAACAACACCCATTTCAACATTGGTGCACTGGTGCTTCTTACACCAAATTGTCTTTTATATCAGTGTCTCTCATAAAAAGGTTTGACTGCACTAGAACTAATCACGGGGGCCACAATATAATAACAAAGAGACGCTATGCAATCCAAACAACCTATTTCGACAACCGTATACATAACGGGTTCTGTTTGTTTCTATGGCACAAAGCATCACCAGTTATTAGTCGGTATGAAAAAAAAAAAAGAAAAGATCACGTTGCAGGTAGCAACGTCACTAAAAAATTTCTCGGTGAAAATGCACGTACTGCAAGAAGTTCAGCTAGCTTCCATGCGCTGCACCTCATGAGTGAAATGGAGTATATAAGTTACAAGTGAATAGGAATGACTTCCATCTGCAGCCACCTTATGATAGAGGCTTACTGACACTGCTAACATACCAGCTTTGTGAACGTTGCTGTAAGCCCCAAAATTCGCACTCCAACCATAGCCATGAAACTCACACTGGCATAGGTGGAAAATCAAATTCACATGCTGCGTATTTATGGTGTGAGCAATGCGGGCGGCCTGATGAGTTACAAACAGCATCTCAACAGGCACCGTTCTTGATGACCGCTGCACAGCATTAACCTGAGCAGTATTTTCGTTGTGCTTCCATTAAAACATACATATCTAATATGTATTGATTGATTGATTTGTGGGGTTTAACGTCCCAAAACCACCCTATGATTATGAGAGACGCCGTAGTGGAGGGCTCCGGAAATTTCGACCACCTGGGGTTCTTTAACGTGCGCCCAAATCTGAGCACACGGGCCTCTAACATTTCCGCCTCCATCGGAAATGCAGCCGCCGCAGCCGGGAATCGAACCCGCTACCTGCGGGTCAGCAGCCGAGTACCTTAGCCACTAGACCACCGCGGCGGGGCTATCTAATATGTATAAGGTATGGATAAAGTAGCTCATAAGTTAACACATATACCGATAACTGCAGTGGTAGCATCGACAGCCACTAGAGAGACAGCAGTAGTGTTTGCAACTAATCTGCATAAAACATAAAAGGAGTGGCCTGCAAGGACAAGCCACAAAGACTAGGGCAGACAATTACATTAAAAAACGGTACCTCTCACATAAAATTTCATGGATGGGTTTCAGTGCCACCATATCGGGCTCATTTGTGCTTTGTGTCTTTGACTAAACGAACAGGATTACGCTAGACGCATACGAACGAAAACTCTTGGGTCGGTGCGTACAATGCTTCATGGCCTTGTTAATTCATGTCACAGTGTACAAAAACAATAAAACAACCGCTAAACAGCGCAAGATGGCGGCACCCACATGTCTTAGGTTGAACAGTATATATTACTCTAACAAACTGAGCAGTGCCTGCACAATAGAACAGCAAGGGAACAGAAAGAAGTCATTCACACACCACTTCAGTGAAGAGAACAAAATGACACAGCTTGGAAGAAATTCTCACGAGTTTTGTTTCGGATAAGAGCCGTTTTTTAACTGTGGCAACAACGTAGGGGGGCTCACTTTTCACTCGTCCTTGAGCTGCACTCGCTGTTGAAGCACTGCTGGAGCGAGTCGAAGTGGTAGCTCTCCAACTTGGGCAGCTGCGGAGGCCTCGCAAAGCGTGGGCAGTTACTGCTCCTGGAATACAAAGGCATTACTTGACGAGGAGAAAAATTGGAGTAACAGAGGTATGGCAGTGCTAGTGGCAAAGGCGTGTGCGTCATGCCATGTGCGTCAAGAGTGACAACAAAAATCGGGAGTTTCCCTATATGCCACGCGAAACAGGTCCGAGAATAAATTCTGTGGCAAATGACGTGTGCCGCGAGGCGAATGACCAATCAGAAGCGATGAGTGTGACGTCACGAAGCCATGTCGACTGGGCTGCCATTGGTCGGCACCGAGTTATCCCACAGTGCAACAAAAATGCGGATGACAAACAGAAAACAACGTTTCTTCTGGACGCTGCCCCTGCATTTTTTGAGAGCGCTTGATCTCTTATAATGTTGCTTTGTGGCAAGGCCCTTGCCAATGTGGTCATCCTGGGAAGGCATTGACGAGGGTTTTTACTGCCGCTAGCATGGCCGTACCTTAAAATCAATCGCCACGTCGAAGCACTGCAAATGTATCTCAACAACTTTATACATTCTAGCATTATTGTCGGTTTTCATCAATATTGTGTCTAACAATAAAAATGAGCCCTAAATCTGACAATGCTTTCCTTCATACATTCCAGGTAAGTTATGAAGCTTATTGAAAGTTCTTCACAATTTTCTTAAAGATAGCCAGGAAAACAATAAATTTTAGACATAAGTAGTTAAGCAGGGGTTGCCTTGAAGTTCCCTCCAGTAGTGTGGCAGCTTGGGCTAGTTGGTATGGCATGACGATAGTTATAGCGCGAGAACAATACGACGACACAGAGACAAAAAGGACACGAAAAACACATAGGACACGAAAGACATGTGTCTTTTGTGTCCTTCTTGTCTCTGTGTCGTCGTATTGTTCTCGCGCTATAACTATCATTATCGTCCTCCAGTACTTCTGCGGGTGAAACTTTTCACAGTAAGAGCAACTACAGACGACGACTTTGCATTTGAATAGGACAAATCAGGTATCACAAAGCTTTATTTCTTCTTGAGGCTTTCTATTGTCAAAGTCTGTGAAAGAACAAACATGCCTATACATTCATAAGACTCTTCGTTTACTTAGCAACTTAATGCAAACTGTGAATGCATTTTGACGCATGAACAATCGAACAAAATTAGCAAAAAATGACAGAGCCACTGTCTGGGAAGAACGTGGGATTACCACAGTGTAAGGAATGTGCAGCTACCTGTCTTCGTTGTGTGCCAGGTCGCCAGTGCAGAGGTTCATCTGCAGCGGACACTCACACGGGCACTCACAGTCTCGCTGCTCCATGCGATGGCAGTTGAGGCACAGCCTGTCAACCTGATATCGAGAGACCAGAGCATGCATTATAAAGCTACCAAACATGGCCATAAAGCAACATGTACGACAGACAATTCATGCACATCTTTCTTTAGCCTCAGTTTTCTTCACACAAAAGTTACAGAAAGCAGGCAAGTGCTGCTACTAACCATGCTGCAAGGGCAGAAAGCCCTGACCGTGTCACACGTGTGGTTGACAATGCCCAAGAAAGCGTTGGTGCCGGGGATGGCAGTGATCTGAAAGAGATGAAAGCAATATGATTAATAAACATGTCTTTATTTATTGAGTGGAAAGAGGTACTTTATACCACATCGATTATGGTGCCTGCATTTGTGCTTTCTAATCTATTTTGCCAACTCTGTTTCAAAGTGCCTAGAAAAAAAGAAACCCGACTGAATTCATCCCTCTTGTCCGTTTTCAACTTCAGACTACAAAGCAGTACTGCTCAAGACAACTTCACTGATGGCACTGCCATCTTTGAGTAAAAATTCAATGTGCCACTTTACATCAGCAATGACGAGCAAGCAGTTCTTCCCTCCTCGCACGCTATTTCAAACTGACGGTGTTTCAAACCGACTCAAGTGAAATTCACAATCTAGTACACAGTTTTGTCAGAGGTTTTAGAAGATCTTGGATGTTGTTCAAGTGGAACATTTGCAGTATAAGCAAATCACTACACCATCTGAAGAGCACATGACTTGCAAGGAATGCTGCAAATCTGGGACCTCACCTGGTACTTGGCGCAATGTTCCCCGTGCACAGAGTTGGAGAGGATGCCCTCAAGACTGGTGTTGAGCTGAAAGCAAGACAAGGCACACAGAATAGTTTTTAGCCTGCTTCACCTAATTTGATGCTGCTAGGTCTTGCAACACTCGAAGAGAGATATTGCAAATCAATTTCACAAAACCTCGCAAGCAGGAGGAAAATTCAAGAAAGAATGAAACTGTCGCTTATTCGTTTGTGACACGAAACTGCCAATAATATGCACAGCGGGTGAAAGACAAGCTGCAATTTAAGATGGAGCGTCTTGATAAGTCAACAAGTCTATATGATTAGGACATGCCAAATAAAAAAACTGACTGAAGATGCAGTGCGCTTTGGTAGTGGTTTCCTTTTTTCCCTTTAAAATGAAAGAAACGAGACATGCTTCACTAAGCAAAAAGGCTCACTTTGTAAAAGCGCTGCACCGTCCAGTCTCCATAGTTGTTGCACTCTTTCTTCTTCACGAAACCTTTGTGATTGGTGATGTCGCTGACAACGAGGGGTTCCTGAAAAGTGTGAAAATGAGATAACCACGTTGAGCATGAAGCAACCTGAATTGAGGATGAGAGAGAGAATAAAATGAGGGAAAGGCAGGGAGGTTAACCAAAATTTGGAGCATCCGGTTTGCTACCCTGCACTAAGGGAAGGAAGAATGGGCAAGAAATATGGGAAAGAAAGCGAAAAGCGAAATAGACTTGCTAAAAAGAAAAGAAAAAGTTGTGAGCCTGGGTGCTATAGCCTGTACAATAGGCCTCTACCACGCAAAAACTTCAACAAGGCCTTCACTGATTTTCTGTGGGAAGACAGATCATGTTGCCTTTCAAGCCCCGATTGTTCTGACAAAGGTCTGTCATCCAGGCGAGCTAACGCAGCAGCTAACTGCAGTCTTTGCACCCTGTGATGAGGGCAGTGACAAAGAACGTGCTCCATCGTTTCATCGCTGCCGCAATGATCGCAAGCACTGTCTTTCATGCCGATTCGGAAGACGAAAGCTTTGGTGAAGGCGACACTAAGCCACAGTCGGCAAAGCACCGTTTTCTCAAGTAGAGAGAGAGCTGGCGGAGGCCGAAGTTGGCGAGACGTGTCCAGCCTATGCAGTCGCGTGTGCTGTAAGCATTCAGCATTCTATAAGAATTTTATTTCTTGATTAGCGAAGTTTCGGATTTTCACTAAAGCATCTTACTCGCGCCCCTACCCATCATCTACCCCCACTGCCAGAAGACCGACCTCCTGCCTCATTTTGGGAGACAGTCTTGTCATATCGCACACACATACCCACAGGATATAAAACTCCGTCCAGAATTGCAACTCCTCCATGATGTATGACTCATGCACATGTTGAACTCGTGGTTCCAGGTATAAGGTAAAAAATCCGGCTCTCGTCTCCAGCACTAAACCAGCTTTCTCTTCTCTTGTTGTATGAGAAGTATAGTGAGCATAGCCATCTATATACTGACACTTCAACTAAAGTGGATGGGTCTGCAGGGTATGTGATCTTTCCTGCAACAGCGACAACGATGAAGATTCGGTTATCCCACCAGATGTCACCGACAGCTGCGGAACTTGCTGCTCTACGTAGCGCAGTTAACGCCATTAAACACCAAGAAGTCAAGAAATGGAGCATGTTCACAGACTCCAAGGCAGCACTACAGTGTTTGGTATTCGCCTTACGCCGGGGACCTCATGAACAACTAATGCTGGAAGAGAGCTGCTTTACCACCTCTTCGACGAAGGACAGGAAATCATGTTTCAGTGGCTTCCAAGTCACTGCGGCATATTGGGCAACGAACATGCCGATGTAGCTGCTCTATCAGCTCTTGAAGATGGTGAAGAAGAGGATGCAGAGTATACCTGAGCAGGTCTAGTAGGCAAGAATGTTGCAACTCACCTTGCGGGTGATGTGCTGCTGCTCCAAGCCCGTGGCTCTCAGAGTCGGTTCCATGAGGCTCGGGTGAGCAATCAGGTAACCGCGGTCATCGAGGATGAAGCACCTACAAACACGCGGCATGGATGAATTCCACAGTTTCGCAATATAGATGCAACAATGAAGCTAACAAACATAAGACAAAGAGAAAAGGCACGCTGCGATGAGAAATGGCTTCTTATGGCCCACTTAACGACAGCAAGAAAAAAGGTCATGCATTGCAATAAACTTTTGAACTAAGAAGTTTTACGAAACAAGGGATTTGCGAAAAAGATGTCAGGCTTGGACATGTGGGCTAGCAATCTGAGCAGCACTCAAAGTGTATGAGTGACCGATGCAGATCTTCACTAATTCACACTTCACACACGGAGTTTGAAGCAATAGATTTCTTCAGAACATGTAGCTTGCAAGCAAACATGAAAGCTCTAACAATAATATCTGGGATTTCAAGTTGCCAAAATGACAATATGACTACGAAGCATGCCGTAGTGGAGCGCTTGGGAAATGTCAGCCATTAACGTTTCGCTTGCATTGAAAAGCGACAGCCACGGATGGCATAGACACACGACCTTTGGAATCGTGGTGGATAACATGAAAGCTCTAATATTAACATTAAGGAAGGGAAGAGGTGTCACGGCAGCCACGCTTCACTAGCATTTGCAATTGACAAGATATTTTTCAGCAGGACAGCTTGAAGGTATCAATCAAGTGATCTATCTAAGCAGAGTGCATATGAAGCATTCAAGCAAAATGTAGGCTATTAGAAAATGTTACAACAACGAGATGCTTCTCATGCTTCATTGTCACACTTCAAACCTGTATGCGAGGGGAAACAAAGACTTAATACTCACGCTATTTTGTCCATTTCACAGACATCCATGTTCACCGTCAGTAACTTGTAGAAGTAGCCAAGCGTCAAGTCCATTCCAATGACAGCAACAACAGCGTCCGAAGTGCTGTGCAGTGCGTCTGGTCTGCGCAACAAAGTTTGATTACAATGAGTGCAGCTGCGTCACGCACGGCCATCAAATGATTCGATTGAAACAACAAAGACATGCCTCTAGCGAACTAAAATTCATAAGCGAAAATTGCAATAAACGAAGATTCACTGACATGAAAGGATAGTTGGTTAAACATTGAAGGAACATCAACCCAAACTGACAGCAACCTCCCTAAAAAATTAAAGAAAAAGAAAACCCAAAACAAAGGAGCGTACTAGCTCAATACACTGAAGCCTTGATAGAGTATAACCTCATTACAACAGATATCCATAGTGGAGAGGATTTTGGTCTGTTGTAAAAGGAGCAAGTAAAATCCAAGTAATGTTACAACAGATCTTTATGGAAACAATGAATGGGTCTGTTATAACCGCAGAAAACGAGTCAAACGAAATTATTCTCAATGAAGCATAAAAAATTGATCTTTTTTAAAATAACATCTTTAGTTCCTGTAGTAATTTTTCCATCTGATTTCAAGATGTAAGTGCTGTAAAAAGTTCTTTGCGCCTGCCGAGGTGGTGGAAATCATTGTGGAAGTCGCAAAAAAAAAGCTGTATTTTTTTTATTTTATAAAACGGCACTTTTGCCCACCACCGTTTTGGGCTCGTCGTAAAAGTAGTTTGTAATCATGAAGCAGATGTTTGAAAATCATTTAGAGGCCTCTCATCAGCTGCTTCTGCCATATTACTCCAGTACGCCTTCGCTATTCCGATGCTCGTTCCGTGATACGTTTCACGGATAGCGTCATTGCTTCTTGTGCATTGTGATGTCGCGGCTGTCACAAATCGGACTACTTACTGCCATTCTTTAACTCGTTCTGTGTTCACAGGTTGACGATAATTCAACATACAATTATGCCTTAGTTAACGTAGCAGCAAGCGGAAATTCAGTCATCAGATTACCATTGTGCCCCACACTCGTCGAACATCGCACACGCGTGTCTGCTTATCAGCATTTCGGATCTTGTGACAAAAATAAAGGCCACCACGCAACAAATTTTTGTTCTCAAGATCGAGCATGTCCGACATTGAAACACTGGACACCCCCACCATGCACATCACAGCCGCGCTTTCTGCTCGAAGTCTAGCTAGGCCTAACTCTGCCCCAAACTTGGCAGGCAAGACCGTGGCGCTAGCGGATATGTGAAAGCAAAGAAGCCGTAATGTGCCTCATTGCAAGCAGCATAGTGCATCGGCTGCTGGCTCCTTAGAGCTACGAATAGGCGCTTGGCGCGTTGGTGGCGTACCCTGGCCAAACTCGCCATGCACTGAACGCCCGAAACAGCGGTGGTAGCGGTCAGCAATTTTGTGCGTCGGCGCCCCAACACGCAAAACCAACCACGCTGCACGTCTATTTTTCAGCGCCTTAGCTAGGCATAACTAATCATTAACAGACCAGACATCGGTGGCTTTCGTTTTTATACCGGTACGTCGATATCCTCGCCGCTATTTCAGTACTAAAATTATTTCATGCGATGTTTGAAGTCGGAAGTTATAAAATGTAGAATATCTGTGGTAGAAAAGTTCGCCTTGCTGGCCTCACATTTTGGTCAATTATATACGAATATCAGTTGAACCAGAATTCGTACTAAACAAAGCTCAATCAACAGAAAAAATAGAGATGTCATCACAGCACTGCCAATTGGTACGAAATATCCGGATGTCTGCCGTAAGCAGATCCATTGTAACGAGGTTATACTGCGACTGTTTGCTGTACAAGTGTGCTACAGTTGATCCTGGGTATGTCACACTCGGATATATCAAACTATTTCGCGATCCCCTTCGAGTTGGATATATTCGGGATTGACTGCATAATAAATCAGAATTTAACAAAACGACGGTTATAATGAAGTAAATGAAATATAGTCAAGCAATACATAGAGTGTTAGGAGTAAACCTCTATAACGAATTTTTGGATATAACGAACTTACACTCGTGTAAGATGCAACTTTGTTATAAAGAGGTTTGTGCATATGCGCACATTCGAATGCTCGTGCAGCTAAGCAGCAAGCCTAGAACCATGGCAACAAGACACTTACTTTGCCTGGTAGATGGTGTGGCTCAAGGTGACTATATAACCCGCACCTCCCATGTCCAGGTAAGGGGCTGTGAGCACAACCTTGCCGGGGTGCTCCAGTGCACGAGTGTACCAGTCCCGTTCGGTCGGGTCGTAGCTGCGCTCCAAGACCGTGCCAGGGTAGGCCACCATCGCACCACACGAGGTCGCTGCGTACCTGTGAGGAAGACCAGACCAAAGCAATCGCAAATACACAATTTTTCAGCTTAGATCAGCTAGTCGAGCTGCAGTCACGCATCGTATGGCTGCCACTACTCATAGTGTGCATTTTGCTTGGTTTTGCTAATCAGGGATGTCTCATTTCTCTTGGTGAGAGTAGTTTTATGTTTTACACAAACCTCAATATGCAAATGCAAAAAGCCTTCAAACTTCATGTGAGCTGCTCTACAGCTGCAAGATTACGCAAGGGTACAGGCGACATACAGCCGAGCACAAGAGATTAAGCAGCACGGAATATTAATAAAAAAAAAGTTACATTTTATTGCAACATTTTCACCACTGGCATCTGCAGGTAAGCAGTAGTGTGATACAGAGGTGTAGGCAGAAATCAATTTTTGAGGGGGTGGGCCACCTTTTAAGAAATGGTCATTTTTCACTCTGTATGACATGGCAGAAAAGCATTTCAGGAAAGGGGGGGAGGGTAGCAGTGTGTCACCGACTGGCTACACCACCGGTATGATATGGCGGCTGGGTGAAATGAGGATTTCGCACACATGTCTGCCATTTTAACAGTTGTCAATGAGATAATGCAGTGATTATTTGTAAGCTCCAAAAAAAGTATTGCAAGAGTGCTTTTAAGTTCAGGAGAGAGAACAAGTCTGACGTTTGAATATGCAAAAAGTGCTTCCCATCATAAAAATATATGCTGCAAATGTTTTCCCCCAAAACTTTCAAAATGAGTAACTATTCGCTGAAAAGCTGTGCACAAACTTACGGGGCTCTGAAACTCACCTTCGCACCACATGCTTCGTGAACTCGCTGCTCTCGAAGGTTCTCTTCCACTCAGAGGTGATACGGGCTATCGCCAACACTTCGTCTCGCACGTCCGGCTGCATCAATAAAGAGAGAGTTCTCAGGTAGCTCAGGGCACGCAAGAAAAATACGAAAGTACTCTGGGCCAGCAATCAGATATATCATTCCAGCATGACACCCCCAGCAACGCTGAGGCTATTCGGCATAAGGACGGAATTGCTCATCATATGCATGCCCTTTGAATTCTATGATAGCCCTGACGACCAAATAAGTGGGTGAGAAATGGCAAGCTGTTGGCTTCTTATAACTGCCTGGATTAATAACTTCGACTCTGTTACGTAGAGCATTACTGAAGGAAAGATGCAGTGAATGTTACAGCGTTAACAGACTTTTGTCTGCCACCATGTAGCATACTGCACTGGCAAAAAAAAACGAGATTACATACCACAGAGCAGTATTTTTAAGTAGCTCAAGGACTCACTGTGAGTAAATCATTGCTTAAAACTGACACAGAATACACTCCCACCTCGGTATGACAAACCCGGTCATAACGAAACATTGGTTATAACGAAGTAAATAAATAATAGCTTTGCAATAGCTATTAGTGTTACCACCTCGATATAACAAAATATCGGTTATAACAAAATAAATGAAGAATAGTCTTGCAATAGCTATAGTGTTAGAAATAAACCTTTAAAATGAATGTTTAGGATATAACGAACTTATTTTCCTGTAAGATGTCACTTTGTTATATATTGTTACGAGGCAGTGGGCATGAGCCCGACATTGCAGACGAATCGACGAAGAAGAAGCTGACTCGCTGCGCGAGATGCTGGCAGCCTTTCGGTGACACGGCTACTTGTAAGCATTTTAAATACCCTCACTATTGTCTCCCGCGTATTGGTGATTCCCCGTGAAAATTTGGCGGAGGTGCGGGGTAATGCCTCAACAGTCGCCTCAGTCAGTATTGAAATGCGAAGAAAGAACGGCCAGCATAGATAACACTGTCACCTAGACGCCCGAGATAACTACGAAGTAATTCCTTTGCATCAACGAACGAATGCACCAAACAGTCGGGTGCGCTGACAAGTGATGACTTGCCTTGAGTCCTGGGTTTGCAATCAGCATGGTGGTGTCTATGAGGTAAGCCATGTAGCCCTGCACTCGGGACTTGGTCTCTTCCTGGGACAAGTACTCGAAAGGCGAGAGGAAGCAAGCCGCAGACAGGAACAGCGTACTGCCAGCTGCACGCAAAAGGAGCACAAGTCAGACCCGTGCGAGGCACATGCAACTCGTAACCTCATAACAATGCCGTCGAATGCTGCTGATCAAATGCACTTTTACGGAAATCTACGAGGCAGAGGTTGCTGTACAAAAGGAGATGTTTCTATCTTTACAACTTAAATACAATGCTGCTGTAAACTAACGTAGGTTCGATGACATGAGCACTTGGCAGACAAGAAAAAACAACAACAAAAACTTTTGATGGGTTGCAGAGTGAGTTTCTAACAATCGTTTATGTGAGTACTTGTAGAAATCATAAGAACAAAAAAAGGAGGGAGGGGGGGGGGGGGGACAAGACCAGCCAGCATGAGTGCAGTCCTTTCCTACTTGTACACTAATCTTCACAAATCTCTGTACTTGTACTGTTTGGTGTTCCTGCATTAGTTTAATGTGCATAATCTCCAAGTGCCCTTTCAACCCTCCGAGTTAATTCAAGCGCACATTTTCTGCTGTAGCACCCCTTTATGCACCTTCTGTGCTTGGAGATGGCCTGCTTGTTTCAGCTCTGCTTGAGTCACATTTCTCGTAAGCGCCCGCACGCCTCCATTTGCACAAAGCAGAAATGACATGCGGGACGATGCTATCGATATACAGTTTATACGGAACATGAAGGCGATGGCAGATATTTGACTGTGGCATCCATATCATCACAAGAAAAAATGGAGCACTCACCAAGTGTCGAGAGCTGCTTCATGTGCCGGCAGAGTTGAGGAGGAGACACAAGGTCGAGCCTGTGGTAGTAAAATTCGCCCAGCGCGTCGCCCGCTGTCGTACCCCTCAGCACCGGCTGTTGCTGGCTTGGCTTCAAGCTCACAATGGCAACAACGTAGGGTGTACCAGCCACCTGCGAAACCGGTGAAACAAGGCCAGGCATGCTTAAAGCAAAGCACGCCTGCAGAACCACACAATGATGGGTGGAGAAAATTCAGGCGTGCAATCATCACGCGAGTGTGATTATTGTGCAACACTTATGGTAATGATTATGAAATTAAATTTCTGTGCTAGAATTCCTGGGTTTGAGTTATGTGGACAAGTTCACCCTTTAAAAATCTGCACTACATGCGTAGACATACTAAGTAGGGCCGGGCGTGCAAAGACTCACCCTCGTCCACCGGTAGACGACTTCCGATAGCTGTTCTTCGGCTGGCTCGGCTTCGACCAGGTTTGATGCACGGTCAGGTGACTCTACCACAGATGCAAGTGTGAGCTTGTTCTCACCACTGGAAGCACTGGAGGAGGAAAAAAAAGGGGGGCGTGGGTGGAAGAAAAAGAAAAAGCGTTATTTCATTGTAGTATCCAGGTAACAGTGTGGTAAGTCTCACTTGAGAATTACATGACACAATAGAGACGACAAATTTGTAAACACGGGTTGCCACTGGCGCAAACAGTTCGAAATGAGGTCTAGTCATCTTCAAGGCTGCAGATGTCTTAGTTGCAGCATTGAAGACAAGACCGCTTGTCAAAACCTCACCTGCAGCCACACAACGGGTTCACGAATTTGTTATCTCTTCGAGCTCCACTTTTGCCTGATCTGAATTAGGCGACACAGTCGAGCAATACTGTAGATGACATCACTTGTTGCAGCTGCGCCTCTATGAATCTTTAGCCCTTCCTCTTAGAGAAATGCATCTTCTGCTTTGGCTAAGAGTTCTATCGAACAAAAAGTGTTATTTTGAACAAAACAGAACGACAAACTCGTTTTCGTGGCAGTGCGTGTGAGTCATTTTTCCTTCATCCCAACAAAAATCATTGCCTGTGGCAGTGGGCTTACTCCCTCCACAGGCTCCTAGTTGTGTTATGGCTCCATCGATTTGGGAGACTAAAATGTCTTGAGCAACACAGTTTCAAACCACAGAAGTGGCTAACTACTCACTTTAGAAGGTCTTGTTGCACGGCGTGAAACCCGGGCCTATTTTCCAAATGTAGGATGTCCGTGTGCATTGGCTGCTCCGACACGGACGACGGCTTTGACAACGCTGGGTGCACGATGGCCATGCCTGAAGCAAGGAAGGGGAGCAGAGATGACGCAATGACAAATGCGTAACCACATTCAAAATACAGTCGAACCCCGCTACAATGAAACTGACGGGGTGTGGAAAAAATTTTGTTGAAGCGAAAATTTCGCTGCAGTGAAATAAAAAGAAATACAGCTGATCTGAGCTAGCAAAACAAAGGTACGTTTATTCTCGAAATTTGAAAATTCTCCGCTGCTTCCCATTCCTTTCCAAGCAGCGTCACGACGTGATTCTCACCCATGCAAAGCGAGGCCATGGTGAAACGCCCGCTGAAACAGCGCCAAAAACCGCTTTCGTGAACGAACCAAACAGTGGCATTAACATGTTAACACCAGCAGCTGTCCACTGTCAAAAGTATCCGACAATGCCGAGATGGAGGCAGGGTATCGTGGAGCGGCGACTTTTGTATTACTTTATGTCATTCTTATCATTCATCACTCGCGGCAAGCTGATTTTGTTGACAAAGCGGACGAACAGCCGCTCTGATTAGTTACCGCACTGGCCAAGGACGACCATAATGATAAGCATTGGAAACCGAAAAGGCGTCGTGCCGCGGTTGCACCCAGCAGCTGCGAGAAGGAAACCATGAATTGAACGACTGAGCTTCAGCTTCGGATTGTCTGCGGCTCAAAAGCAAGCCAGTGGCAAAACAAAAGCAGGGCAGTCTCATTGCTATCGTTGTCGAGCAATGGCAGCGCCCGCGCTTGTTGGACAGCGGCGGTATAGCGGCGTCTTTTAGACTTCACTAACGCATTTTCGAGCTCTGAAAATGCATTGAAATGTTGAAAGATTGGGTTTACTGCATAGCAATAAGTACCTGAGCCTAGAATTGCATCGTAAAATTTTGTTGAAGCCGGACGATCGAAGAAAAAGTTCGTTGTGGCGACAGTATTTATGCATTGACTCCTATAGACGGCTGACCGGGAATCGCAAATTTTTCGTGGTAGCGGAAATTTCGTTGAAGCGGTGTTCATTGTAGTGGAGTTCGACTGTATGTGCAATAGAGAACAGTCAACACGTGGACATTTCCCCGACTCACGCTTGAAACAGACACCTACCATGCTCAGAACGACAGAAAACCGAGCGAGCTGACCAGGACTCACGGTTTCAAAACGGTGGGGCATAGGAAGCACAAATACCGCACAAACGAAGATGTTTGTAATGTTTTTTTTTTTTTTTCATTACTGTTAAGCCTCTGCTTCTTGTGATTGCATTCTCAGACCGCAAACCTTCCTCACAGTACTGTGCCTGTTGCCGACTGGTACCTCACCTTAACTCTGCACTGCAAGCTTTTCATGACTGGCCTCTACAGGTACATATGTACAGTTTACATTGCGAGAACATTGTAAGAAAAAAAAGGGGGAGGGAAGATCAGAACCGTTAAACTAACCATTCATATTCTCTTCCATTATGCCTCTACCAAATATATGCAGTTGGACTCTGCCCAAATCTTGTCAAAAGTATGCAACATAAAATCAGGCACGTTGAAAGCACAAGAAGGTCTGCACTGACCCGATTTTTCAACGAGGAAGCTGTAAACATCCTCAGATTTAGAGAAGTAGACGATGTCTTCAGCCATGTCTGACACCGAGATGTCAACGCCAGCAACGCCCAAGAGTACCCCGTGGTGGACCACTGCCTTACTGATGCTTATCACCAGGTCTGTAATGTAACATATTACAAACAGTCAGTAAGAGGGGGCAGCATCAAATAACACCTTTCACATGCCTTCATCGGCTGCGAATGACACGACAAAACAGTACCGCAGCGAAAATCGATTTGTATCAAGCTACAGCTTGAGTAAGTTTCACCACATTTGGAGACACTTCAGAAAATGAGGTCACTCAAGAACTGCAATGAACCGTTCATTGTGCAGATAATTTGCTAGCTTGATGAACAGTGCGATTACGAAATGAGCTATTGGCGAAGGGAGCCAATGACACTAAAGAACTTTGTCATATAACAGATTACTACAATTGCTAATGCTCGCAGTGTAAGCTTATGTGGAAGTTAATGACAATTTTTTCATCTAAGCTGAAATTTACACAACACCATAATGCCTGCACATCGTAACACACATGCACAATATTAAATGTCATGACCACTCATGTTCATCACAATGACACGAAAATTTTCCGATATAGACAACCAGTCTAGTACAGTTTGAACTTGCGGTGAAGGAAAATTGAAAAAAAAAAAAATTGTGTTTTTTCTTGCAATTTCTTTGCGAATCTTGATATAGTGGTAATTTCCCAACCTCTGCACTGTTCGTCTAAAAGAAAAGTGTCAGCTGACACACAACCAAAGGAACATTGCACGAAGACGGCTGCCATGCTGTGTCGTGCTCTATGCTCACATTAAAAGGAACCTCAACTTTTTACTGGAAGTATGGCTGATGTGGCAACTGGAAGGCTGGCTGATGTGGCAACTTTCCAAGCCAGACAATACACATGAACAAAGCAGGCGCACGAACTCACCCTTGCTAACGTTATCGAACCAAGGCAGAGAGAAGTGAACAGATGTAGGGTGTCGGTGAAAGCTCAGGGCAGAGTAGAACTGGCCTATTGTGAAGCTGAGGTTCTCAGTTGAGTTGATGGTCACCATGGCTCCCTGAAAGCAGTATAGCACAGAAGTGTGATTTGACAGCCATAGTAATTCATGCTACTAAACGAAGCTGGAATGCAGACGGAGACGCGAGAGAAAAGATCACAAACATCACTTTGTGGAGTTCTGATCCCATCACTTGTGTCCGTGTATAACCGCTAACTTCTTTGAACATGGGTCCGTACCAAATAGCTTGACTTTCTGTAGTTGCACGCTTTACTAAACTGCACTTTATACCAAAGCAACCAATATATTGAATAGACTACAGTACACGAATGATCACGAAATAAATGTGGTATGCTAGTTAAAGAACAGATCCGAGGGATTAAAAAAAAAAAAACAGACAGCAGGGAGTTGCTCGGTACAGAAACAGCTTACAATTGCATGCCCAAAAGGTGCAACTGTAAGGCTATTTGTAGTTAAGTACACGACAAGTCTGAAAACTACAGACACGTTAAGAAAAATTAAAGCACAGCAGCCTCTCAGTAATTAAAAATCTCTTTTAACGGAATTGCTACTTGAATCCAATACGAATGGCTCTTTGTACTTGAATTTTGCACCCCTGTTCATGCCTCAGTAATCTAAATTGCTGGTAACCTGAAATTCCTGAAAGGAAAGGATTAGCATCCCTGCCTTTCCTTTCCCTCCTCCTCCTGGTCTTTTCAGGTTCTGTTCAACAAGGGTGTACTGTAGCGCTAATGTGCATGCTTTTATGTTTCCAAGGTTCATGAACTAATGCTTCATTAAAGACCTGCAAAACAGCATGTCATTAAATCACAATTATCCTACCTCCATCAAAGAAAAGGAAACGTGCAGCCACTATCCTGAACAAACATTGCATGTACTAAATTTTAAGGTGACAGCACCTTAAGCGTGGAGAACGCACTGAAGAAAGGAGAATCTGAAATACTTACGCCCTATGTTAGTCCTAGCTGTAGAAGCATTTTGAACAATATCAATATGGAGAGCAAATATTGGCATGCAGTGTTGGCTGAAGTGTCAAAAAACTTAGCTTGCCAGAATGGTGCACTCACCCTCAGCTCTGGTGAGGGAATGCCAGGCACGTTGTACTTGACAAAGTTGAGTTCAGCAATGTCCTTCAGAAATGATGTCTCGTACATAATGGGCTTGCCATCTATGAGAAGAATTTCCAAGAAATCAGGAAAGTTGATAAACAATGCACAAATCACGAGTGTTTTTAAGTTCACGGAGTAACTGTTTCGTCTCTTAAAGAAGGTCTTAAATTTACTGCAACTCGTCCTATGCCACACAGCACACGTGACATTGTCACTGGTAGTACGTATAAACATAAGCTAGTTATGTGCAAGCACATTGAGCAAAGTGTAAAGCCTGTCATGACATCTATGGGGCGAGAAGATGCTCACCGTCAATGACTGCGTAAGTGTTGATGACGACGCGATGACCGCTGTTTCGGTGTCCACTCGCAATCGTCTCCAAAACTGGACGAGCATCAGCGATCGACGACAACAGGCCCCGGCTTACGTAGACAATCAGCGCCTCGGCTGAAAAGTGAACAGGTATCCAAATTAATATTGCGAAGCAAGACATTCACGAGAAGCAGAAGCTGTGTGCATTCCGACTTGTTACTTATGAGGACTGCCGCAATGGTTGATCTACTTGCTGGTTGACCTACACGACAGTAGGTCAACCATTGCTGGTAGTTCAACCAAATAGGTTGACCTACAGTCATGTAAATACAGTATGTGCTGATGTCATCAACAGAAAGTGTAATGCACATGCACACATTGCCCTGGTTCCGCCTGAAATGATTACGCATATCACTGATTCGTATTGTTGCTTTTGCAGCCAAATGACCTGCTCTTCTGTGGACTTTCCGACAGCTCCGCACGCAAGATGCGTACAGACCTCGTACGTTAGTGCAATCACCTTTATGATAAAAGCAAGGAGGCACACCAACCTTGCTTCGAAGTGTTTTTGGAGGGCCGGAGGCTCTTCTGGATCATTTCAAATGCCTTGCTAAACCCGACCCGGTGGTTGGTGGAATCTGAAAGTGAGTAATTGCAGAGAAAAACTTAATAAGCCTAACGAAAATAAGAAGAATGGCCGCACCAAAAGAGAATGTCTATAGTTGGACTTGGCAGTCTACAACGTTTTCTCCGGAAAGATGAATAAACGTGAAACAGCACCAATGGGCATGCAGGCTCGACCGACGTCATCAGCCGGAGTTCCGGTGACTTCGTTGCCTACTCATGAGTAGGACTATGTGTTGAGTAGCAGGTAGAAGCGCTCGGCGGTTGCCCTTCGGTCGCATAGGTGGGGCCTCCACAGACTCCTTAACTTGTATAAAACTACAGATAACTGTGACAAGATAACGGATAAATGTGCGAGCTGGTTTGGGTTCATAGTGCACTAATGCTCAAGTGTTATTATGAACCGTGTCAAGACTTATTTTGGAAAACCTTATAGGTGCTTCCTTAATAATAAAATTAACACTGCACTGTTTAATATACAATATGTACATGACCCAAAATGCTGCTCTATCACGAATTCACAAATGTTAACCAATAGAATCAAAGGCCACTAAGAGCCAACACCCCGCCACCTTTTGCCACATATTGTGCGAGTTCCTTAACAAGCTTTCATGTCTCTGTGAAGAAACTATATGTGGCCACACATAGCAAGACGGTTATGAAAGAACAAACACAAATGACACAACAGAGTACTACTGTATTCATACATGAGTCTCTTGAATGCTGCAACACATACAAAGCTTCCGACACGAGGATTTACTACAGCCAGAACTTGCCCACATGTTAATTAAAAAAATAATTCTCGGTATCCTTGACAAATGCTTCCTGTGTTAATTATAGCTTTCACATAGAACAAACAAGGCAAAGCAGGGAAAAATTAGCAGCAAGAGATGTGAACTACAACATAACGATCAACAATCAATGTATACTAAATATGCAGTCCATGTATCAAGAAGAAATGCAACATGTAATTTAGTTTCACAAGATGATAGTTATAACGCGAGAACAGATCCACGACAAAGGGACATGAAGGAGACCCTTTGTCGTCATTCTGTTTTCGCGCTATAACTATCATCATGTCATACCAACTAGCCCAAACTGTCGCACTTCTTAGTTTCACAGGATCACAAAAGACACATACTGGGTGCCTTCTGGAGGGCATCGATGAAACGGCCAAAGTGGTACTTGGTCTCAAAGGTGGCAAAGGCCATCTCCTTGGACAGGCACTTGTCGCTCTGGGGAAACCTCGGCTCCCCCGACAACCCAATGAGACCAACCTGAAAGGTAAGATGCACGAAACCAAAGGTATTGCATTGAGTAATAAGGTCAACTACCTCCTTAAGAGACATGCGCAGATGAACCACAATTGTGTTACAGGTTCAGGCTCCAACAACTGAAGTAGAAACGTGAGCAAACACTAAAACTATTGGACAGACTACTGATAGGACATTTAATAATGTTAAAATGCTAACATGCATCAACTTATACAGTGTGACATGCATTAACATAAAAGGGGCCTTGAAACACTTTTTCGAGTAACCATGAAACTAATTTCCTGGAAATGCGTACTGCTTCACAAGTTCAACGCCGCAAAAATTAAGAATCCGTGCAGTACGAGCGGAGTTACAAGGATTTGTCACACGCTGCGATCGCATTCTCTTTTCTCTAGTCCTGATGAAAGCGCTGGAAGCTAAGCATGGAGAGATGGGAGGGGCAAACAAAAAACGCCACGTGCGTCTCCTGACCTTGAGCACTTTTTTCTCGTTTTTTTTTTCGAATACACAACTTTCAATACGCAAGTCAGCCAATGGCTGATAGATAAGTAATCTATGTGCGATTTTTGAGCGTCTTCCGTCAATTGTCGAGGGAATAGAAAGCAATTTTTAGCTGACTTCGATAAATTATTATGAATTCCAGGCCGCGTGTTGCGCTATAACATTTGGCTTGGGTGTTCTCGGGAGCCTCTACTACTGATCGGCAGCATTTTCTGACCATGCTCAAAAAGTGTTGCAGGGCCCCTTTAACAGAGATGGGTCTAGGGATAAATTGCTAGTCTACAGCAGTTTAGAGATTCTAGCCTCTGCCTCAGTCATATGTTCAAGCTGTTACATGCTGTTTGTTTTCATATATTTGGTGAGTTCATCAATACAAGAAGAGCTTACCCTGTCATGATGGGACAGCGTTGACAGGACGTACTTGGCGACTGCCTTGGCCGTGACGAGCTGCTTGGGGCTCAGCGAGTTGCCGTGGTCGATCACAATGACCACGTGTTTCGTGTGTGGTTGCACCGTGGCCAGGTAGATGTCCCTGATAGGACAAAAATGAGGTAGTGACCACAAGTTACTACCAGAGCAAATTGTACTGCGAAACAACATAATTCCCTCTCTGTCTCACGCGCTATGAAACAGTCTGTGAAATCTGAGCTTCGTGGCCCAACTTGCTTCCGTACTTCCAATCGCACGATAACGCCACGAAATAAGGCGAATCGATTGAGAGACCTGTTTCCTTATTAATCACAATCTAAGAAGCCAACAGATTACAAAACGATGAGAAGCATGCGTAGCACTATCTGTAGTTTTCAACTCAGCAAGCATGGGGAAAAGAGAAATGAATGTGGACATTCTACTAGTCAGGTTCCAAGCACACTACCTCAGCATTACACACTATGGGTTCATTTCTAACTTGCAGCAACATTGGATGGAACAAGTGGTCGTAAGTTCTGGCGATATTTAAGCCTAATGGCTCTTGATAAGACAATTTATGAGCGGTTAGCTGTTTGAGTAATTATGAAATATTAAAGGCATTCTTCAATGTATGTTTTTTTTTCACGCTTCATGGTCAATGCGCGTAGTGCACTTTGTGTGTTTTACATTAGACTGGCATTGCCGGCTTTATTGTATATTCATGTAGCTATTTCTAACGAGAATTCCTGCGGCTTTTTGAATCGTGGGCTGTGTTACTGATTGTGCGTGCTTGTGTGTCATGACAATCTGTAAGCTTACTGCATTATTGCTTCCTTGTGTACCGCACACTGTGTTACTGGTCGCGTCTAAACTTTGTGTTCAAACTCTGCACTGTACCACTGCTGCATTGAATAAATAAATAAAAATGTGCATGTGTAAAAATGAAAAAAAAAAAAAGAACATGGTTAACCCAATATAGTGTTTTACTTCAATGTACACTCTGAGTGAATATCTCTCTATACCTTATACCTAAACTAGTGTATAGGTATGACTACTGTTAATAACTGTCTCGTAAATGCTGTGCAATATTAACTCCCAGACATAACCATTTGAAACACAGCAACCATATTTGGTAAATCGACTGAATTTTGCCATTTCTGCTGGCTGTTGTCAAAGAAGAGACCAAGAACACTGAGGTTATGATAAAACAAACATTCGTGTTATCTATGGTTTCTTTATAACACTTCCAGGTGAAATATTTTTCTATATGTGACTGCTTTAGTGATGACACCGCCGTGTTTAATAAGACGCTAAAACATGAGGCGTTTCAACAAGAATTTCAAGATTTTCAATTTTTTAAGCTTTTTAGGAATGCTTATTGCCATCAGACAACATGTAACTTGTGTGGGTCATTCAATTGGTTTTATGAATAAATGTAGAATGACTGAGTGCACAATAATCATATAATTAATTACTTTGTAACGGCAAGTAATGGCTACAAAATACAATATGACTTGCTCTAACACTTTCACTCAAATTGTACTGGATCTCTAGAACCATGACATCAAATTACTTAATTTCAAACAATTAGAGACCATTGATCATAATGCGTGTCATTCAGGTATAACAAAACGCCCGAACCAGCCACTCAGAATTACACGTAAACTCACTTCTTGTACCAACACAGGCTCACCTATGCCGAAGGTCGTCAACGTGCCGGCACGACCACTTTCTGACTGTGCTGTAAGCAGGGTACTCTGTGTGGATGCCGGCGGTCGACACAAAGTACTGCCACTTGATCGACGGATGCAACTCCAAGTTCTTGCGAAACACTGGAGACAGTGAAACGATGTAGTGATGAATAAGTGTTGCGATGTGCTCACTCTGCAGTACCCCCTTTTGCCAGTTGAGAGTGAATGTGAGTTCAGATAGATGCGAGAGGGTATCAATGTGAGCGACGGTCGAAGAGAGTGAGCAGGCGTAATAACAGAAGTGAGCGAGTGCGAGAGAGATTGATGAGCAAAAGAGCCAGTGCAGACGTCAAAAATTATTCCCGTCTGCTTCAAGCGAATGTTCACTCATTTTACCTGCCAATCGTGTAATGAAAATATGATATCCTCCATTTCTTGTAATAAAGAAGTAAGCATCTGCTAATCTAGAGACAATACTACAACACAGTTCCTTACACAACACCAGGTACAGAAAACATCTACAACTGTTTATCAATTGAGATCACAAAGCATTTAGAATCAAGGCATATAATGTGGGCCACTTTTAAAACTTCTACTGTGGCATTCACTGCCCAAATTACGATTAGCTGCTCTGTTTCATGCTGCAGCATTATCTATGTACCCCTGAGAAGGATGTTTTCATGTTCTAAAAGCAAAATGTCAAAAAAATCGGAGGTTGTTAATAACCACCAACCATCAGTAAGGTTTGGTCCAGGACTGAAAACGCCTTTGGGAAGGGACAGAGGCGCCGTGTCACAAGTTGTTGAGTTTGTGATCTCCGTGCCGAAGTGGTTGTCCATCCTGAGGAGAAAAAGAGAGAGAGAAAAGGAAAAAGTAAATACGTAATTCTTGTAAGTAATTGGAACACATGGGAACGAAAAAAAGAAAGTGAAGTCATATGAGCCGTCACCTATTCGTCCTTGCAAGCTGGAACAACGTCACTGTGCCATACCAACTATCAGGGCTACACTTGGGAAGTTTTTTTCAGGGGGTGTTTATGTGTAGAATGGCTAAATCTGGAAACTGGTGCTCGAGGTGAAGGTGTGTAAATGTACTTTAGTATCACCGGAAAAGTTAAAAGCACAAAAAAACTTAGGGGGAGTGTCAGAACTCCCTTCAACTACCCCGTATTTACGGCCCTGCCAAGAATGACAAAATTTTCCTTTACTTCTTCATCTATTTTGTGCCACCAGCATAGCTGAAAGCAAGTTGAAGAGGCCAGAAATATTTATCACTTACAAATCTGTACAAACACATAATATCACAAAGACACAATAACAAAGCAGGAAATAATTGAAAAAGAAAAGAATGCTGTTTGACCTAACAACCACTACAAGAAAAAACTAAAGTTGTGAAAGATTTACAAGTGCATTTATAGATAAACTGAATGTGGTGTATACTCTACAACAACGGGGAATAGACAATTCCACTTGCCCGAATGGGTTTTCAAATGTGTAACAATGATTTAAAGAAACAAAAAAATTTCCGAGAATGACATAAGTGTTCAGCACATCTAGATGCTTAAATGTGAGTCTAAAATCAACATGAAATTAAAATAAGTTTGTGGTAAGAGGCATTTAGGCAACTGACGCCATCAGCACTGATGATATCTGCTGCCTTCCTTTCTAAAACGATAACTTTCACAACCACGGCGGTGAAAGCCAGCGCACAGAGTTGATTTGGCAGAAGTGTATCAATTAGAGCAGCATTTTTGTTGCTGAAGAACAGAATTTTCAGATGACCTGCAGGAAAAGTAAAGCAAATGCGAGTTAAAAAGGAACTCACATCAACACACTTGGGTCCATCAAGCAGCATGGGTTAACCGCTGGGAATGCGTAACGCTGTCGAAACCTGTAGACCTCCTCCACAACGTCCGAGCTGCGATTGAGAAGTGCCACATACGACTGCAGCTTCTTCTGCAGCTTCTCAGCAATCTGGAAGAAGAAAAGTAAACAAAGTAAGCTACAGAGATAAAGGTATTTTTCGTGATGATGACCATTTTTTCGCATTTGTGTGAAAAAAAAAACAACGTTAACACTACGCAACTATTTCAATCGCATACGGGATAACCACGCTATTACAGGGGCATTAACAGAAATTTTAAAAGGTAGGTGTTCTCCGCCAAAAAATTTTATTGTATAGCTATGAGTGAGTTTGAAGCTCAGTAAATGCTGATGAGACACTTTCTCATGACATTGAAGGGGTCCTCCAACACTTCTATATGTAATCATCTAATCGCTTCAATAAAAGAGCTTCTTGTCTCACAAATCTACTGTTGTAAAGAATTTTTTAAAACCCATCAAGTATGAGCAATGATACAGGGATTTGCTGCATGCTTAAAGAGTTTTCGCTATCAGGGACGGGGACGACAAGAAGGCACATAGATGCGTCCTTTCATCAGTGCATGTCATGGCCTTCGGATTCTTTTTTTTTTTTTTTGCTTCAATCATGCTGGTCACTTTCAGCGCGACTGTGCGCGCCCAAGCGGGCACACAGCAGCATTTTGCAGTGGCCATGGCAACTATGCGGCTCACAACATTCAAATCGGCCAACAGCCGTGGATTTTGCACTGTTTGTAGAAAGAAGAGGGAGCATTCCTTGCAGACGTTGAGAATTCACCACTAATTACAGACCACAGGCTGTGCTATGTTTGGCTTGAGTATTCTCAAGAGTCTTGATTGCCGATTAGCAGCATTTTCCCACAAGACACCAGTATGCCTACAGTAAAATACAGGTTGATAAAAAAAATGCACACATAGTACCCCGCTTATAAGACACATCTCATATAAAAGACAAGAATCGCTCATATAAAAACAAGAATTCATGTCTTGAGCATGCCTCTTATGAAGGGGTTTAACTGTATTTTATTGAGTTCAAGCTCCAGTATTGCTAGTTATTATGGCATCAGGTACCAAAACATTCAATATGGTCATTTGTGTGCATCACAACAAAGCGGAACGGCGGTTAAAACGTCAAGACCTCTACAGTGTTTTGACATGAGTGTGCTGTGGGAATCAAAACTAGTCTGAAAAACAAACTACAATTACTTTTTCAGTGTGCACTCACGCTTACCAGCACATTTTATTGGCTCCCGAGGACCTGGCCTTTCATTTGATTAAAAAAAGAAAGAAGAAGAAATTGACAATTGAAAAATTTCGTGTACTCGCTTTAAGACTTGATGAGCAGAACCAAGGATGCACGTTGATCTGACACAACTATTTATTTACTTATTAATACTGCAATCTCAAGCAGAGACTGATACTGCAGTCTCAAGCAGGTGTGATACATTGATACATAATATTAAAAAAAGGCACAATAGTTTTCAAATAAAACACATGAAAAGAAAAATACAATGCATACAGATAAAACAATAAGGCTAAGAAATGTTTATGTTTATAAAGCAAACGTGTCTCAATCGAAAACATTGATGAACTATTCACAAGAGTGAAATAAGCTTGAACACAAATTTTAGCACCGCCATGAACGAAATGTGCGACAGAAATTCAAGCGTTATTTAATATGCCACAGTAAGTAGACATTCGTTACAGGCAGCTCGCTCAAGAGCAGAAAAATCCACAAGGACATTGAAAGTTGACATTGCTACGATGTAGTATCAAGACTCTATGCATTTTATACCGTAAAAAGAGTAGTGTCTATTAGCAGCGTTAACAACTGCAGCACCCATGACATGAGGAAAACACTTCGTGGTATTTTCACAGCATGATAATTTAAGTGCCAGCAATGCTGTAACAGTAGCCACCTTTCCTTCAGCTTATCCCTATGTCCCTCGTTTCATTTATAATCAATAAACAATCAATTCTTGCTTATCCAAATCCCTTTTAGAAGAACAAAAAACACGAAAGTTGCTTGACAGAGGTCTAAATATTCTGATAGTAAATAATTGTCAAGTCTTTGTCAGATGGTGCCAAAGAACAAGAGTACTACAGGACACTGGTGCAGGAATTTTGCTTCACTATAGTGAACTCCACTCAATAAACGACTCACATATAAAAATGACATGACAGGCACATTTTACTCCTTTGTTTCAACTCGCTGCTGCTTAGTGTCCATTTAAAAAGTGAACTTTGAAAGAAGCTTGGGTGACATTATTTCACTTGGTATAACTGAATTGCTGCTGGTTTTCCAATGCGAGATCTGTAAGCAACAAGGGTGCTTAGGGGGAACCACTGAATGCATTCACTTTCTTCAAAAAATGATCCACAGCCAATACGGCAAAATTTCACACTATGTTCCTACTCGTTTTGCTAAGGTAAACTAATAAGGGAGTAACGTAGCTAAAGCGTTTCTTCCTATTGCTGAGAAGTCACAAACATTTTTTGTCGTTCCATCATTCCCCAGTTCGTGGTTGCCCTATGAACCAACTGTATCCTGAAGTGCGAAATAAGGGGCAGATTATCTCGAGAAGAGCCAGTCAGCCATTCCATGCAGAAAGAGAGGAGCATCTCAACATCGTAAGACAATGCAAGAAGCCCTTGAAGGCATACGGCATTCTTAGAAGCATAACAGTTGCACAACTAGAGATAAAACGAGAGAGGTGATGGAAAAAGAAGAGCTCTGATAAAAATCTCAACAATAGGTGCCCCATCGACAACTTAAGACAATGCGAAAACACTTGAACGTATGCTGTGTCAAGTGCACCACTGTTTTCACGGGGACACAAGAAAACTAGCGAGACAAACTGAGGTGCAGAAAAAGATGTCAAGACGGGAACGCAAGACGAGGGCCAGATAGGAGACCGAACAAAAGGGGCTCCTTTCAAGCGCCTTAAGACAATGTCCAAGTACTTCTGCAGACATGCTGAGCACATGGCCTTATCTCCGTCTTGAGATAAAGAAAAGCTAGGCCATACAAAAAATAAGATGGAATGACAGCCCAGTGTCTATGTGAGCACCTGGGCTTATATGACACTCTAAGACAATGTACTGTGTACACTAGTTATGAATGCAAGTGCGACATAAATGACTTGAAAGTAGAACACGAAACAAAAGTGATCTTCACTGCTCCATTTCATCGTCAAGCACATAAATCTTTGATCAGAGAGCTTTGTACTGAAGACATAAAATCTATTCAAACCGATGTACTTGAACCCCACTTTTGTATCACATGTTTCGCCCAAGTAAGTGAGCTTTTGATGTGTGCCATGTGCTTTGTTGAAAGTACTCTCAACCAGACAGCACGAGCATTGTAAAGAACAAAGTTCCAGGCTCCATTTGCGCTAGTGTTTCTTTTAATGAATAAACCTTCAAACATCTTTTGCAGGCTTTTGTATCGTCTGCTTCGATTTGAGTAAATGTTGTGGACGTAATAAAAAGCACGCTGCTTTTATTTAGTTCAGCTTATCAGACTGTGTGCTGGAGAAATTCCAAACCACAACACCAACTTTACAGCTTCATCATCTGCAACGCAGTCTTCCACCGAAATTCCGTGCTCCGTCGCTTTCCACAGTGGCTCGAGGAGAGGTACGCCGCAGTGTCCGCGACAAACGTCCACTCTATCCGCAACATGTGCAGCGACAAGACGACACAGCCAACGACAGCTTCAGTGTGAAGAAATGAAATAGATATGGCTGCAGAGATGGACACTCCCTTCGACATCTCGGCATACTACAATCACACACTTGCGTGTGTCGTCGTGCGCAACTCCTCTCCTTCTCCGTGGGGGGGGGGGGGGGACAAAAAGAAAAAGTAAAAGAAATCACTGCATTACATGCAGCCACAGAGCAGCGGCGCAAGAACGAAATTCGGCACGGCGAACAGCCGAAGTTGGGGGTGCCAAAACCGGCTCCCCTTCGCAGAAACGTCGTCACGACGAGAATGCAGCTTCCAGTGCGGGACCCCCCCCCCCCCCCCCTTGTCCTCTCCCGTCTTGCGCGCGCGGTGGTCAGCGGGAGAACAACACACAAAAGACAACGGGCAGCATTGCTGCGGCCACGACGAGAGAAGGCGCGATGATGATCGTGCGTGGCAAAATAAAGAAGAGCAAGAAAGACAAAAATGACGAACAGCAACAAGGATGAAGAGGAGCGGAGGGGGTGTCTAGTAACACGCGGTGCCCCGCTGAGAAGCCGACAGGCTTCGCGAGTGGAAGGAAGCCTTTCCACGGTGCCGCAAAAGAGAGAAGAGGGTGAGAGAATTGAGTGAGGGACGAAGACGACAGGCTACAACAACGACGATCCGGTGTGAGCCGTAACGAATTACGCGCCGCCAGGGGTCAGCGGAGGCGCCAAGTCTGGGACGGACCCCACGGAGGAATAGCGAGCGATGCGCCACCTACCGGCTGCGTGGGGAACTAGAAATAGGCGGGTTGATGATGGCTTCGGGAAGGTGGGGGGGGGGGGGGAAGCAGCAAAGGAACGAGAAGATGATTCCCCCCCCCCCCCCTTTTCCACCACCCGTTCATCCGAAATTCGTGCGCTAATGCTAATGGTTCCGGAGCTGCCGAGGCCCATTCTTTTTCGTGGCTTGGAGCGCGCGCGCGCCCTGTCTTTTTGTGCGCGAGAGTTTCGTGTTTCCGATTCCATTAGTGCCGCACGCACAAGAGAGAGCCACGTTCGAACGTGCTGGTCGGGCGACGGCGGAGAATTAGAGAGAGTCGAAGAAGTGACTTCGTTCGGAACATCGGGACGACTGGAGCGCGCGTTCCTCCAATGGCTCCCAATCTGAAAGAGAGTTTCCGAGCTGAAGAGACGCAAAAGCCGGAAGGAAAGTCTCTTTTTCACAGAGGCACAGAGCCGTTCGCGACAGCGGACGTCTGTCTCTTTGTTCGACGCGTCGTACAGTGCTCGCAGTATAATGCTACACGTGCGAAGTCTGAAATCCCATTAGTATTACTTCCCGTCCCGCAGTGTCGTGGCGGGGCGAGAAAAAAAAAAAAAAGAAGACGAAAGAAAAGGAGTGGAGAAATCACGTTTTCC